CTACCAGCTCTTCCATGACCTCCCAGGCATCCAAGAATGTTACTTTACTGATAAGGTTGTTGCCTTTATCATCTTTGGGGAATAAGTCTTTCCCAGACTGAAATCCCTGGGGCCAGTAAGTAAGATAGATACCCAGATAGTCCAGTTTCAGAGCCTGTGGGGGTCTTCTAATAAGTTTCCTTTACAAGGTTTCTCTCAAAGAAGGTGCACCACAACTTGCTAACAATAAAGAAGTCCTCCTGTGTCACCAGCTTCTCTTGGATCTTCTTCTGGATGGCTTCTCCCACCTCATTTTTCCCCTAGAATATGCACAGTCTATGTGGCAATATCCTGCATCATTGGCCACCTTCTTTGACTCTGCCTGGGGGAGACTTCTAGGTGCCCAGACCCAAAATGGACATCTTGGCTTTAGTGTTGAGCTCCACAAAGGTGGCCATGGTAGGTGCAGAAATGGTTCTCTGAGAGCAGATAGATGTCTAGTGTTAACATACTCTTCTAATATGTGAAAATTGGACATCTTTCCATTTTTGTATGTCCTCTTCAATTTCTTTTATCAATATTTTGTAATTATCATTTTAGAGATCATTCATTTCCTCTATTAAATTTATTCCTATGTATTTTATTTTACTTTATTTTTGTAGATAATGTAAATAGACTCACGTCATTTTTTTTCTCCATTTCATAATTGTTGTATAAAAATGCTACTTATTTTTGTAGGTTGCTTTTGTATCCTGTGACCTTACTGAACTTGTTTAGAGGTTCTAACAGTATTTTTTGGTGAAGTCTTTAGGTTTTTCTCTATATAATATCATGTCTTGTGCAAACAGGGATTATTTGACATCCTCCTTTTCTGTTTGGATGCCTCTTGTTTCCTTCTCTGTTCCTATTGCTGTGGCTAAGACTTCTAATGCTATATTGAGTAAGAGTGGTGAAAGTGAACACCCTGGGCTTGCTCCTGATTTTAGAGGAAATATTTTCAGTTTTTCCCCATTTAGTATGCTATAGGCTGTGGGATTGCCATATATAGACTTTATTATGCTGAAATACATTCCTTCTATATCTAATTGTTGAAGATTTTTATTATGAAGGGATGTTCAATTAATATTATTAAGTGCTTTATCTGCAACGGATGAGATGATCATACAATTTTTATTCTTCATTTTGTTGGTGTGATTATTACATTTACTAATTTGCATATGTCGAATCATCCTTGTGTCTCTGGGAGAAATTCCACTTGGTCATGGTGTATATTCTTTCTTATGTGCTGTTGGATTTGATTTGCTAGTGTTTTGTTTAAAATTTTGTATCTGTGTTCACTAGGGATATTGTTAGAAGTTAGCTTTTCTTGTCTTGTTTTGGTATCAGTGTTAAACTCCGATGCAAAGAAAAGACTTGCGACTCCAATTTTAAATCAAATTAAAGCAAGCTTGTATTGGTGTACTGGAGCTAGCCAGGACTGTCTTTCCCAAAAACCCTGGGCTAGAGATTAGTATCCTAGCTCTCTAGGAACAAAGTTTTATAGCACAAAAATTTGAAAAAGGGGGGTGTCTTGAGAATTTACAGATAACAGGATTTTGACAAGCATAATACAAAGGCAAATAGTGGTTAATGATCTACATGGCTTAACATTTAAAGGTAGGGAATAAATTTAGATCCCAACATCAGAATTTGTATGAGGCGCCACTGAGGTTTCAGAGAGGGTTGTTATTTGGTCAGGGGGAACCAGGACTTATTGTTTTCTGTATTCTTGATAAACTGCCATTATGACTGGCATAAGATGAAATCTTAGAGTAGTTTTGATTTGCATTCCTCTAATTACTAGTGATGTTGAGCATTTTTTCATATATTTGTTGATCAAATGTATATCTCCTTCTGAGAAGTGTCTGCTCAGCTCTTTAGCCCATTTATTTTATTTTTATTTTTTTTTATTTTTTTTTTTTTACATTTTTACCTTAGTTCTTGGCAGACACAATATCTTTATTGGTATATGGTGCTGAGGATCGAACCCGGGTCGCACGCACGCCAGGTGAGCGCGCTACCGCTGAGCCACATCCCCAGCGCCTCTTTAGCCCATTTATTGATTGGATTGTTTAGTTTTTTGGTGTTAAGTTTTTTGAGTTTTTTATATATCCTGGAGATTAGTGCTCTATCTGACATGCCTGTGGCAAAAATTTGCTTCAAAAATATAGGCTCTCTCTTCACTTTGTTGATTGTTTCTTTACTGAGAAGAAGCTTTTTAGTTTTAGTCCATCCCATTTATTAATTCTTGATTTTATTTCTTGCACTTTAGGAGTCTTGTTAAGGAAGTCAGGGCCTAATCCGACATGATGGAGATTTGGGCCTACTTTTTCCTCTATTAGGTCCAGGGTCTCTGGTCTAATTACTAGGTCCTTGATCCACTTTGACTTTTGTGCATGGTGGGAGAGAGGGGTTTATTTTCATTTTGTTGTATATGGATTTCCAGTTCTCCCAGCACCATTTGTTGAAGAGGCTATCTTTTCTCCAATGTATGTTTTTGGCACCTTTGTCTAATATGAGATAACTATATTTGTGTGGGTTTGTCTCTGTGTCTTCTATTCTGTACCATTAGTCTACATATCTAATTTGGTTGCCAATACCATGCTGTTTTTGTTACTAAAGATTTGTAGTATAGTTTAAGGCCTGGTATTGTGATGCCTCCTGCTTCACTATTCTTACTAAGGATTGCTTTATTTATTCTAGATCTGTTATTTTTCCAAATGAATTTCATGATTGCTTTTTCTATTTCTATAAGAAATGGTGATGGGATTTTAATTGGGATCATATTGAATCTGTATGGCGCTTTGGGTAATATGGCCATTTTGATGATATTAATTTTGCCTATCCAAGAGCATAGGAGATCTTTCCAACTTCTAACATCTTCTTCAATTTCTTTCTTTAGTGTTCTATAGTTTTCAGCATAGAGGTATTTCATCTCTTTTGTTAATTCCTGAGTATTTTATTTTATTTTTTTGAGGCTATTGTGGACTTCCAGTTTTATTCCATTGTGCTCAGAGAAGATATGTGTTATGATTACATTTTTAAAAAATTTTTCTGACATGTTTTTGTGTCCTAACATGTCATCTATTCTGGAGAATGTTCCTTCTGCTAATGAGAATACAGTGTATTCTGCAGCTGTTGAATTAAATGTTCTTTAAATGTTTGTTAGGTCCATATGGCCTACAGTTTAACTCTGATATTTCTTTGTTGATTTTTTGTCTTGGTGATCCGTCAATGGATGAAAGTGGGTGTTTCAGTCACCGTATTGTATTTGTCTATCTCTCCTTTTAGATCTAACACTGTTTGCTTTATGTAATTGGATGTTCCAGTATTGAGTACATATATACATATAATTATTTCTTCTTGACCGATTGATCACTTTATCATTATATACTAACTTTGTCTTTTTATAGTTTTTGAATTAAAGTGTATTGATGTAATTATAGCTGTTCCTTCCAATTTTTAATTTCCATTTGCATGGAATATCTTTATTTCTTCATTTCAGCCTATATGCATTCTTACTGGTGAATTTTCTTCTAGGCAGCATATCTCTGGATCTCATTTTTTAAAAAAAAAGTATTCAGTCAATCTCTTTTTGTTTTGTTTTGTTTTGTTTTGTTTTTGGCAGTGTAGGGAATGGAAACCGGAGGCCTAGCACATGGTAGGCTAGCACTCTACCACTGAACTATTCCCCCAGGTCCAGATAGTCTTTTAAATGGGGAATTGAATTTGTTTATTTTCAAGGTTATTGTTATGGATTAGATGTGGTATCTCCCAAAATCTCATGTGTGAGACCATGAAAGAAGGTTTGGAGGAAAAATGATTGGGTTGTAGCCTTAACCTAATCAGTGAATTAATCCCTTCTGGATTTAACTAAGTGGTAACTGGAGTCAGGTGGGGAGTGGCTGGAGGAAGTATCTCATTGGAGGCATGGCTATGGGGTATATATTTTGTTTCTGGTGAGTGGAGTCTCTCTCCCTGCTTTCTGATCATCATGTGAGCTGCTTGCCTTTGCCACACTCTTCTGCCATGATGATATGCCTCAACCTTGAGCCCAGAGGAATGGAGTCAGCCATTATGGACTGAACCCTTCTGAAACTGTGAGCCCCTAAATAAACCTTTCATCCTCTACAATTGTTCTGGTTGGGTCTTTTAGTCACAGCAGTGAAAAAGCTGACTAAAACAGAAATTGGTAACAAGAAGTGGGGTTGTTGCTATGACTAACCTGACCATGTGGTTCAGAAGCTTTTTAAGTTTTTTGAAATTGGTGGGAGGAATTTTAAGATGTTTAGCAGTGTAAGCTGGAGATGCTTTAGATTGTTGCAAGCAGAGCTTAATGGCCAATTCTGGTGGGAACTCAGAAACCAGAATGCTAATAGGACCATGGACAGTAAGAATGGGGCTCAAGAGGGTTCAGAGGAAGACTCTCTTGGAATTTGGAGTAGAGGCCATTTTATTATGTTCTGGCTAAGAAGTCATCTGCATTTTGCCCTTCTCCTGAGACTTTCTGTGATGCTGATTTTAAAAGTGATGGACTTCTTAATCTGATGGAAAAAATTTCTAGCAGCATAGCATTTAGGAGGTAGCATGGATATTACTGTGGCTTTTAGCCAAATTTATTGTATTATTCAGGATCAGAAAGTAGAGCAGAAATATTTGAAAAAAAAAACTTGGTCTTAAAAGATGGGAGTAAAACTAGGGATAAAAAATTTGCAGTTGTTAAAGACATTATTGCCCTTAAAGAAAAACTAAAGACTCTGCCCAGAGACAAAGTCTTAAGAAAGATGGCTTGAGGCATCTCAGGTGCTAGCAAGATCACATCCATCTCTGGCTAAAGAGAGTAGAAGTGAAAATTCTCTTTGAGACAAGACTGTTGGGGGAAAACTTCTTGAACAAAGGGGGCTAGGAAGTTTTTTCAACATGCTTAGTCAATCAGGCACTCAAGGGCTGATGCAGCCAGGATTCCTGGAGGCCTGCTCAAAATGGTGGCAGACCTTGGCATCAACAACATGTTGCTGGATCTGGAATTCAGGATGCTGGAATTAGGGGGTCCTGAAGGCTTCCACAAAGTTTTCAAAGGTCGGTCTGGGAAACCAGAAAAGTTCAACAGAGTTGGAATCCCTGCAGGCAGCCCCTTACAGGGCAATGTGTAGAGATTTGAGGAGGAAGCCAAAGCTGTAGTGGAGACCCCCAAGATTAAGAAATGCCAGTACTTGGGACATTATCCTAGGAAAGCTGCAGAAATTGAGTAGACAAGTGAACAGAAAGGCCACTTGGGCTGTAACCAACAAGGCCACAGGGTGGATCTGCAGAAACCCTTTGGACAGAGCATCACAACACCATGCACTTGAAGTGCCCGAAGTGGAGCTACAGGACCTGTTTGACCAATTAGATTTTGGTCTTCCTTTGGTCCTATCCCTTATTTCTATGCCTGTAATTTTGTGAATGGAAATGTCTATTCTGTACCATTATATATTGAATGCTTGTAAATTGCTTTTAATTTTCTAGGACCTTACAATGTAAGATTGCCTTGAGCCTCAGAGAAGAACTTTGGACTTAAACTTTGAGCAATCTTGGAACTGTTAGAGTATGGGCACTCTTGGGAATGGACCTAGAGTATTTTTACATTGTCAGATGAGTGTGAGCTTTGGGGAGCCAGGGGGAGAATGTTATGGATTAGATGTGGTATCCCCAAAAGCTCATGTGTGAGACAACACAAGAAGGTTTGGAGCAGAAATGGTTGTTAGAGTCTTAACTCAATTAGTGAATTATTACCTGATGGGATTAATTGAGTGGTAACTGGACTCAGGTGTGGAGTGTGGCTGGAGGAAGTGGTTAATTGGGTGTGTATCTATGGAGTATATATTTAGTATATGAAGAATGGAGTTTCTCTCTGCTTTCTGATCATCATGAGAGCTGCTTCCCTCTGCCACACTCTTCCACCATGATGTTCAGCCTCACCTCGAGCTCTGAGGAATGAAGCCTGGTGTCTATGGATTGACATCTCTGAAACTGTGAGCCCCTAAGTAAACTTTTCCTTTCCTAAAATTGTTCTGATCTGATCTTTAAGTCACAGCAGTGAAAAAACTAACACAATTATTGTTGATAAATAAGAGTATGCGCCTCTCATTCTGTTAAAGTTTTCTTGTTGTTTAGTACATCTTTAATTCCTTTCTTCATCTTATGTTCATCTTTGTAGTTTAGTGGTTTTTCTGTATCAATAGTTTGACACTTGTCTCTTTCTCTTTTGTGTGTCTGTTCTAGTGTTAAATTTTGTACTTTGATGTAACTTTGTGATGATAGTTGTCATTCTTTTGCTTCTAATTTAAGACTCCCTTAAACATTTCTGGTAAGGCTAGTCTAATGGTGATAATTTTTTTCAGGTTTTGTTTATCATGTATCAGCTTTACTTTTTCAAAGGATGGCTTTGCCTAGGTATAGTATTGTTGGCTAGATTTTTTTCCCTTTAATTTCAGGACTTCTAATATTTCATTCCATTCTCTGCTACTCTGAAAATATTCTGCTGAGAAAACTACCTTTATTCGAATGGGGATTCCCTTATAAATGACTTGATCATTTTCTCTTTCTGCTTTTAGAATTCTCACTTCTTGTATTTTTGACAATAATATACCTCAGAGAGGGTCTTTTTGGTCAAATCTATTTTGGACCCTTTGGGCTTTCTGGACCTGCACGTTTATATCTTTTCCAATATTTTAAAAGTTTCCAGCAATTATTTAACTAAATATGTTTTCCATACCTTTTTTCTTTTTATATCCTTCTAGAACCTCAATAGTATAAATGTTGCTTGTTCTCTGGTGTCCCAAAATCTCAAAGCCTTTTTAATTTAATTTAATTTTAATTTAATTTAATTTTTAAATTAATTTAAGCCTTTTTTTCTTCTTTTAATCTCAGATATTTCAAAAGACCTGCATTCAAGCTCACAAATTCTTTCTTCTTTCTGATTGAGTCTATTTTTGAGGCTCTCATCTGTATTTTTTATTTATTGAGTTATTCAGCTCCATAATTTCTGAATGGCTCTTACTTATGATCTCTATTGCTTTTTCTGAATTTCTCACTTATATCACAAATTGCTTTGCTCCCCTCTGTCTAGTCCAAATTACCTCTATTCTCCCTTCCCCACCATACCAATTGTGAATTAGAATCCACATATCAGAGGAAAATCTTTGGACTTTTGTTCTTTGGGATTGGCTTGTCTTGCTTAGCATGATAGTCTCCAGTTCCATCCATTTACTGGCAAATGCCATAATTTCATTCTTCTTTAAGGCTGAGTAATATTCAATTGTGTACATATACACCATAGTTTCTTTATCCATTCATCTGTTAAAGGGCACCTATGTTGCTTTTATAGTTTGGCTATTGTGAATTGAGCTGCTATAAACATTGATGTGGCTGGGTCACTGTAGTAAGCTGATTTTAAGTCCTTTGGGTGTAAAACTAGGAGTGGGATGACTGGGTCAAATGGTGGTTCCATTCCAAGTTTTCTTAGGAATCTGCTTTCCATAGTGGTTGCACCAATTTGTAGTCCCACCATAAATGTATGAGTGTACCTTTTTCTCTACATCCTCACCAACATCTATTATTGCTTGTATTCTTGGTGATTGCCATTCTGACTAGAGTCAGATGGAATCTCAGTATAGTTTTGATTTGCATTTCTGTAATTGCTAGAGATGATGAACTTTTTAAATATATTTGTTGATCAGTTGTATTTCTTCTTCTGTGAAGTGTCTGTTCAGTTCCTTGACTGATTTATTCATTGGGTTATTTTTTTTTTTGGTGTTAAGTTTTGAGTTTTTCTTTTTTTAAATGTATCCTGGAGATTAGTGCTCTATCTGAGGTGTGTGTTGTTAAGATTTTTTTCCCTATTATATAGGCTCTCTCCTCACAATATTGATTGTTTCCTTTGCTGTGAAGAAGCTTTTTAGTTTGATTTCATCCCATTTATTTATTTTTATTTTTTTATTTTTTTAACAACATCTTTTTTTTAAAGAGAGAGTGAGAGAGGAGAGAGAGAGAGAGAGAGAGAGAGAGAGAGAATTTTTAATATTTATTTTTTAGTTCTCGGCGGACACAACATCTTTGTTGGTATGTGGTACTGAGGATCGAACCCGGGCTGCACGCATGCCAGGCAAGCGCGCTACCGCTTGAGCCACATCTCCAGCCCTGATTTCATCCAATTTATTGAGTCTTGATTTCACTTCTTGAACTTTGGGAGACTTATTGAGGAAGTCATTTCCTAAGCTGACATGGTGGAGATTTGAGCCTGCTTTTTCTTCTGCAGGGTCTGTTCTAGTGCCTATGTCTTTGATCCACTTTGAGTTGAATTTTGTGCAGGGTGAGAGTTAGGGGTTTAATTTCATTTTGCTACATATTGATTTCCAATTTTCCTAGTACCATTTGTTGAAGAGGTTATCTTTTCTCCAATGTATGTTTTTGGTGCCTTTGTCTAGTATGAGATAACTGTATTTAGTGGTTTTCTTTCTGGGTCTTCCCTTCTGTATCATTGGTCTATGTATTTGTTTTTGATGCCAATACCATTCTGTTTTTGTTACTATGGCTCAGTAGTATAATTTAAGTTCTAGTGTTATGAAGTCTCCGGCTTCATTTTTCTTGCTAACAATTGCTTTGGCTATTCTGGATCTCTTATTTTTCCAGATGAATTTCATGATTGCTTTTTCTATTTCTATGAAGAATGTCATTGGTATTTTTGTAGGGATTGCATTAAATCTGTATAGCACTTTTGGTAGTACGGCCATTTGACAATGTTAATTCCGCCTATCCAAGAGCATGGGAGATCTTTCAATCTTCTAAGGTTTTATTCAATTTCTTTCTTTAGTGTTCTATAGTTTTCATTGTAGAGGTCTTTCACCTCTTTTGTTAGATTGATTCCTAAATTTTTTTTTGAAGTTATTATGAATCGGGTGGTTTTCCTAATTTCTCTTTCAGTGGATTCATCACTTTTGTGTAGAAACACATTTGATTTATGGGTGTTAATTTTATATCCTGCTGCTTTGCTGAATTCGTTTATTAGTTCTAGAATGTTTCTGGTGGAGTTTTTTGGAGCTTCTAAATAAAGAATCATATCATCGGCTAATAGTGATAGTTTTAGTTCTTCTTTTCCTATTTGTATCCCTTTAATCTTCTTTTAATTGCTTTGGCTAGAGTCAAGGACAATGTTGAACAAAAGTGGTGAAAGAGGGCATGCTTGTCCTGTTCCAGTTTTTAGAGGGAATGCTTTCAATTTTTCTCCATTAGAAGGATGTTGGCCTTGGGCTTAGCATAGATAGCTTTGACAAGGTTGAGGTATGTTTGTACTACCTCTAGTTTTTCTGATGTTTGGAACATGAAGAGGTGCTGTATTTTGCCAAATTCTTTCTCTACATCTATTGAAATAATCATATGATTCTTGTCTTTAAGACTATTTTTAAAATATTTATTATTTAGTTGGAGTTGAACACAATACCTTCATTTATTTATTTTTTTATGGTGCTGAGGATTGAACCCAGGGCTTTGCACGTGCTAAATGAGTGCTCTACTGCTGAGCCACAACCCCAGCCCTCTTTAAGACTATTGATGTAATGTATTACACTTATTGATTTCTATATGTTATACCAACCTTGCATTCCTGGGATGAACTCCACTTGATTGTGATGCACTATCTTTTTAATATGTTTTTGTATGCAATTTGCCAGAATTTTATTGAGAATTCTTGCATCTATGTTCATCAGGAATATTGGTCTATAGTTTTCTTTCCTTGATGTGTCTTTGTTTGGTTTTGGTATCAGGGTGATACTGGCTTCATAGAATGAGTTTGTAAGGGTTCCCTCCTTTTCTATTTCTTGGTATAATTTGAGAAGTATTGGTGTTAATTCTTCTTTGAAGGTCTTGTAGAATTTGGCTGATAATCTCTCTGGCCCTGGACTTTTCTTAGTTAGGAGGCTTTTGATGGCATCCTCTATTTCATCACTTGAGATTGATCTGTTCAAATTGTGTATATCCTCCTGGTTCAGTTTGGGTAGTTCATACATCTCTAGAAATTTGTTGATGTCTTCCAGATTTTCTATTTTATTGAAGTATAAATTTTCAAAATAGTTTCTAGTTATCTTCTATATTTCAGTAGTGATATTTCTGTTTTTCATCATTAATTTTATTAATTTGGGTTTTCTTTTTTCATTAGCATGGCTAATGGTTTATCAATTTTATTTATTTTTTCAAAGAACAAACTTTTGTCAATTTTTTGAATTGTTTCTTTTGTTTCAGTTTCATTGATTTCAGCTCATATTTTAATTATTTCCTGTCTTCTGCTGCTTTGGAGGTTGATTTGTTCTTCTTTTCTAGGGCTTTGAGGTGTAATGTTAAGTTATTCATTTGTTGAATTTCTATTCTTTTAATAAATGAGCTCAAAGCAATGAATGTTCCTCTTAGCACTGCCTTCATGGTATCCCATAGAGTTTGATGTGTTATATCATTATTCTCATTTACCTGTAAGTATTTTTTTATACCATCCCTGATTTCTCTGTCATCCATTCATCATTCAATAGCTTATTATTTAGTCTCCAGGTGTTAAGAGTAGCTTCTATTTTTTATTCTATCATTGATTTCTAATTTCATTCCTTTATGGTTTGATAGGAGGCAGGGTATTATCTATTTGATAAGAGTTGCTTTATGGCATAAGATATGGTCTATTTTAGAGAAGGATCCATGTGCTGCTGAGAAGAAAGTGTACTCACTCATTGATGGATGAAATATTCTATATATGTCTGTTAAGTCCAAATCATTGATTGCATTATTTAGTTCTGTTTCTTTATTTAGTTTTTGTTTGGAAGATCTATCCAGGAGTGAGAGAGGTGTCTTAAAGTTACCCAGTATTATTGTGTTGTGGTCTATTTGATTTTTGAAGTTGAGAAAGTTTTGTTTGAGGCACTTAGATGCTCCATTGTTGGGGGCATAAATATTTATGATGGTTAGATCTTGTTGATGTATTATTCCTCAACCCCAGCTCTTGGTCAAGGCCACCAGCTACTGACCTTGGCCTCTGCTCTTGGTCACGGATGCATATATTTGTTATTTAAGGAAAGGTTCTGTCCCACCTCTTGCAATTCCCGTGGTACATCAGTATGCATGTAAACAAAGTCTCAGTTGTGGGGAAACCGCAAGAGAGTTCCTCAGAACTAACCCATGGCCATAGAAGCACAAACTTTTTCTGAAACATTAAAAATTTTATTTACACTAAAATCCAGGGATGGTTTAGTCAGAGTGGGTGGGAGACAACACTCTATATGAACTAAGAAACTTTAGAAGAAAAGGAGGAAACCATGGACTCCACGTAGTTCCAAGCCAGAGGCCATGTTCTGGTAAGTGGCTCCCATTGCTTGTGTCTGATGTCTGGGAATTAGTGACAGGAGACTGAACTGCATCCCTTTTTCAAACAGATTTTGAGAGAAAAGGACTCTGGGACAGAGAATGAATTCCAGGTTTCCGGAAGCTCGAACAGACAGGGGACCTCAGGGTCTTCCTATTCCTGCTCCCTGGACGCTCTGTTACGCAGATTGAGGGCCATGGATACCAAGAAGGATGACAAGTTTGCTGATGTCCTGGATGCAGTGGGGGAGTTTGGCACATTCCAGTGGAGGCTAATAGTCCTCACGTTTATTCCCAACATCATGTCGTCCTTCTTCATGTTTGCTGACCACTTTGTGTTCTCAGAAGAGAAGCCCTATTGCAACACCAGCTGGATCCTGGCATTGGACCCCAACCTCTCAGAGGCTGAGCAAATGAACCTGACCCTGCCCCGAGCACACAATGGCAGTTTCCTGACATGTCTTATGTACTTGCCCATGTCCTGGGATCTGGAGTCCATCATTCAGTTTGGCCTCAACATCACAGACCCATGCGAAGATGGATGGATCTACCCTGAGTCCAAGAGGCGATCATTGATCAGTGAGGTATGTTTTGTCCTGGGTTGTCTGAAGCTTGTCCCCACACCATGCTATAGACATGGCCCACTCTTACTGAGCAGGTGGGGAAATTGAGGCTCAAAGAGGGTCAGCAATTCTTTGAAGTTTCCCTGCAGAGGTGGGACCTGGGCAGAAAATCAGGATTCCTAACGTCCACCCTTGACCATGCCTTGCTTAGACAGGAAGCTAGAGTGCATTTGGGGATAGAGACAGGTGATGGATGGCAGAGTTTTCTATCTGATCAGGGAATTGCTTCCAAGGTTGTGGCTCTGCCCTGTGAATTCATAGAAGATAGGGATGGGAAAGAAGCAACTTCTCTCAGGTATCTCTCACAGGGTTTCATAACCTGAGATCTTTTCCAGCACAGACATGACCAGCACCTGTGTTTTGGAAAGGATCTTCAGTGATCTGTGACTGTGCATGGTTACCTCCCTATCCATACCACTCCTTGGCCTATGCCTCTGGTCCCTCTCTCCTGGCCTAGCTCCCAGGGTCTGCAAGGCACAGGGTGAGATACAGACATAATGGAGCTGAGGCACTCTGCACACACAATTACCTACCCCTACCACAGGTGCCCTCTGCCTGTAAGTCCACCCAAACCAGGGTCAGTCTCTGGATTCAAAAGGCTGATCCTGAGTAAGAGAACTGTGGCCAATCCCTGTATCTAACCCCCAGTTTGACCTGGTGTGTGGCAAGGAACAGGACAAGGAAACCGTGCAGACCATGTTCATGACGGGCCAACTGATAGGGTCTCTCATCTTCGGGTTATTAAGTGACAAGTGAGTCTCCTGGAGTTCCCTCTGGTCCCTGGGATGCCCTGCCTTCTACCTGAGGGCATTCAGAGTTGAAGAATCTCAGGCTTGGGGAGGCAAAGGTAGGGGTGCTCTGGGGGCCTGGGACAGCTCAGAGCCTGGCTCAGTTGTCCAGGTGGGGGCCAGCCAGGGAGGTGGGCACTTGGTGCAGCCTCCCCTCAATGCTTGTAGGTTGGGCCGCTACCCTACCATCCTACTGTCACTGCTGGGGCTGATGTTCTTTGGCTTCGGGACAGCCTTTGTGAACACCTTTCACCAGTACCTGTTCTTCCGCTTTGGTGTCTCCCAGGCTGTGATGGGCTATGCCATTGTCAGCCTGACTTTAGGTGAGACTGGGCCTTAATTGCTGAGTGGGATGGGAGCAGGGACCCCAGGCAAGGTGGGGGTGGGACCAGAGGTGGGCTGGCACCAACCTACTGGAAGCCAAAAGGATTGGGAGCCAACATGACGCAGGCCTCATCAGGGAAGGTAGGAGTGGAAAGACTCTCCATTCCTGCTGCCTAGAGATGCCAGAGAATCAGTGCTTAGACTACCCTTCCACCCTTGTCCACCATTCTAGTCCCCTGTGTCCCTCACATTCCCCTTAGGTACCCTGTCCCGCAACACAGCTTATATATGTGGAACCCTTAAGGGTCAAGGAGTTGCTGAGCCTTTTTATCTGCATTGGCTCATTTCATCCCAACAATACTCTTTGGTAGGCACTATTCTATCATTCCTTTAGCTGAAGAGGATATTTCATCTCAGAGTTAACCAACTTTCTCAGGGTCCTACAGGAGTAAGGAGCTGGATTTCAATGCAGGCGAGGTGGTGTTAAAAGTCCCCAGTCTGCATACATTTATATCCTACCCTCATTAGGTTTGGTGCCTAGACTCTTATATCTGCAATTCCTGGTATGCTCCAGTTTCTCTGGCAAAAGACTTCTTATTGGAAGCCTGACAGAGGGAACATGTTTAGGTGACCCAAACCCTAATGCGCTCCAAAACAAGATAGTGATTCCTTGTCTGGCTATGAGACAGGCCATGTGAGGCACACAGTACCCGGAATAGGCACTGATTAGGCAGCAAGGGTAGAGGCAACAGGGTGAGAAGAGATGGAAGGCAGGTGTGTATTGGGAAGCCCAGCATGTGCCCTGGTGGGGATTCACAGAAGTGGTCTGTCTAGTTTTGAGGGGTGTCTTGGACTTCAGGGAGCAAGGGTGGGCTGGCACCAACCTACTGGAAGCCAACAGGATAGAGTTAAGTTATAAAAAGGCCGAAGAGCCACTGTTGACATGCCAGGGATCAGGGGCAGCCCCAGGGACCCTGAGCTGAGCACCATTTTGTCCTTTTACTTCCGTACAGTCACTGAGTGGCTTGTGGGGGAACACCGGGCCCATGCCGTCATCCTGGAGCACTGCTTTTTCTCTGTGGGGATCATGTTCCTGACGGGGCTCGCCTACAACCTTCCCCACTGGCGGATGCTGTTTCTGGTGGGCGCAGTACCCGTGTTCCCCCTCATCTCCTACATTTGGTGAGCAAATGAGTTCAGGGCATGCATGAGGCTGGGTCTGATGGGCACAGACGGAGGGTGTGGGAGGTCCTCATGTGGGAATGGCAGTGCTCCCCTGGGAGAAGATGCATGTGGAGGAGATGAGGAGCAGAGCCCCTGGAACCCCAGTGCTCACCTTCCCCTCAGAGGACACCCTCAAAAGATGTCAGAGAGATGTGGGGAGACCAGGAGGAAGAGTGCTAAAGGGCAAAGCTCAAGGTCAGGGGAATGGTCAGGGTCAAGGCAGGAGAGGTGAGTGAGGAAGGGCAGGCTGGCCTTGGTGATCTTCTTGAGGTGACTTCAATAGAATGGCAGGAGTGGAAGTAAGTGAGTAGAAGTGGAAGGAAAGGAGCCACCTGGGAAACAGCTGATTTGGGAGAGGGGAGGGGATGGTGTGCATGGGCAGCGGAGGCAGGCAGGAGAGGGTGTCTGGGGTTTTCCATTGCAGGGAGGCACAGAGAGGCACCTGAGAGACTGGAGCTATGAAGGGACCATGGGTGGATCAAAGCTTGGAGGGGTTAGGAGGGGAGGGAAGCAGGAATGAGAGGGCACTGTTGATGGTGGGCAGTGGGTAAAGTAAAGGAACAGAAGGCCACAGAGGTGAGAGGAGGGGAGCTGAGATACCTCACTTGTTAAGGGTTAGGCAGTTCTGTGTGAAGAAATCTCCATATATAATATTGAAATTACCAAATTTGATCTTTCATTTATTTATTTTTTTGGTACTGGCGATTGAACTCAGGGACACTCGGCCACTGAGCCACATCCCCAGCCCTATTTTATATTTTATTTAGATACAGGATCTCAGTGAGTTGCTTAGTGCCTTGCCGTTGCTGAGGCTGGCCTTGAACTTGCGATCCTCCTGCTTTAGCCTCCCAAGCCGCTGGGGTTACAGGCGTGCACCACCATGCCTGGCACATTTAATCTTTTTTTTTTTTTTGGCATTTTATTTATTTATTTTTTAGAGAGAGAGAGAGAGAGAGAGAGAGAGAGAGAGAGAGAGAGAGAGAGAATTTTTTAATATTTATTTTTTAGTTTTTGGCGGACACAACATCTTCGTTTGTATGTGGTGCTGAGGATTGAACCCGGGCCACACGCATGCCAGGCGAGCGTGCTACCGCTTGAGCCACATCCCCAGCCCCACATTTAATCTTGATAACCCTGAAAGATGGGCATTGGGGTAGATAACTGAGGCTTCAAATAATTTTACATGACTCAAAAGTGGGGGACCTGGGATTTTAACTTAGTTTATCTGGCTCCAAAGCCTCTGTGTGTTTTAACTACTGCGCTATACACAGAATGGATTATAGTAGTTAGGGTTACTAGTTAGGAGGGAGAGCATGGATGTGGCTCAGGGCTTTCCCAGTTCGGTAGGAGACAGAGACCAGTTTTTACAGTCCTTGAGATAACTAAAGGAATGTGGGAATCATCTGATGCCAGATGTCGTGTCTTTGTCTTGTAGCTGGGAAATTGAGGTCCATGCATAACTTGACCTAAAAAACATTTTTGGAAATATTATTAATGTAACAAAAGGATATGATGATAAACTAAATAATGCAAAAAGGTTTGCAATGAAAAATAAGTTTCTGGTGTCCTCTCCCCATAATCCCTGGTTCCTTTCTTTGAAGCTCTGAACTCTTAGCTCTTTCTGCTGGTAGATGTCTTTGTCTACCTATGCACTCAGAGCAGCCAGAGTTTTTAATGGGTTGAATTCTCTGGGAGATATTTTTTTCATCTACAGTCTTCAGACATGTTCCATCAGCTGTCCCTTCCCTGACATGTGGCAATATTTTGGGCAGACACTGTCTCTTTCTAGTCATTCTTAGTTACTAGAATGAGTCTCATTTTGATAATAAAGACTCAATTTCAGACACTAAAAAATCCAGTTCAGTCTAACTTGAAACCTCAGCTTGTATCAAATCCTCAGCAGCTCCCTGGCCCCTGCTCAGGCTAGTGGCCTAAGGCAATGAGATCATTCCTCATCATCTTCTTCCTGCTTTGATTTTCCAGGTTCTAGGAAGGGGATAGGGCATCAGAGAAAAGAGACCTAACCCTTGCATGATAGGAGCTGTGATGAGCTGTCAGTATCCTCTGAAGGAAAGATGTTCAGATTTCCAGTGGATCTTCTGAGCATTGGCATTTCCTAAGGGTCTTGCATTCTTTGTGATCCCCTGCCCCAACTCCTGTTGCTGGCAGTTCCACCCACACCTTCTTCTTGTAGAAGTCTCCTCACCCTAGCACATGACATGCCTGCAAGACTGCAGGGTTCACTTGGCCAAAAATCTTACTGTCCCTCGGCCCCCCACCCCCACCACGGTGGCTCTCACCAACTTACTGCCTTCCTCTTAGTCAGATAAGAGATGACACCATTCTCTAAGTTTGTGTAGCCCTCAAACTTCAGGAGACACTTGTTAGTCCTCCCACAAACCCTCTTACTATCTAGAGTACCAGGGCAAGACCTCAAGTTTCTAACTCCAACCAGAGAGTGGGAGAGCAGACCCCCTTTCTGGAAGAGAATCCCGAATCTACCAATCCCGAGTTTGCTTGGACTCCCCTGGGCCTGGCTGGAGTGGATGAGAACATGGGGTAGAGAAGATATTCAAGATTCTTTTACTTCCATGAACAGCCACTGGTCCACTGCATCATGTGGCTTTTTTATCTCTCTCTTTTTGAGCAACTCCTCTCTCTAATGTATCTTAAGAATGTGAGGTTTTTGTCCATTGTTCCCAGATTTGGGAGCTGCTGCTGAAATCCCAGAACAGAAAAGTTCACTTATCATTTGGTTACACTGTGATTCCTTATTCTCTGATTTTTCTTTCTCAGTAGCATTTGAAACTTCAAGAATATGAAATTGCAAAACATTCTTAGATGTTCTTGAAGAATACAAGTTAGAATTTAATTTTCTTTTTTTCCCCCCATTCCTTACATTATCTTTTTTTTTTTTTTTTTTTTTTGGTACCAGGGCACCTATTTTGTATTTTATTAGAGACAGGGTCTACTCTGAGTTGCTTAGTGCCTTGCCATTGCTGAGGCTGACTTTGAACACGAGATTCTCCTGTATCAGCCTCCCAAGCTGCAGGGATTACAGGTGTGCGCCACTGCGCCCATTCTCCATATTATCTATGTCCTTCTGGATTATTCTTTTCTTTTATGTTTGATTGTTTTGCATCCTCTTAAATTTGGGAGGTTTTCTTCAATATCTAGCCATCCTGGGTCATTCCTTTATATTTAAGAGAGTCACTAAGGAACTAAAGGGAAATCATGAGGAGCAGCGAAGTGGCTGGTGACCTTTAAGGAAATGGATCTTAAATCTGTGTGGAACATCAGCATCATATGGAAGCTTGTTAAGATGCGGGGGTAGGGGCTGGACATCTCTCTCATTTTCTGCATTTGCAGGCCCAGGTGACGCCTGAGAATCTGCATTGCTCAGGCTGCTCTGATGACCACACTCTGAGAATCACTCCTGTTGGGCGGCTGCTGGTTCTCAGAGGATCCCAAAGCTAGACCATGGCCAGGCTCCAGCTGCTGTGCTCCCCACTGAAACTTGTGGCTGGGACTCTAGCTGTCATTGTGAGAACTTTCTCTTAACTCCTGTATCTGTCCTTGGCCTTGCCCCTGTGTTTGATTCCTTGGCCTTTCTTATGTTCTAGATGCACACGGCAGGGGGAAACGAACAGTCCCATTTGTGGGAACTAGGTGCTCAGAGTCCTGTAGGGCCAGGACAGTCCACTGCATCTCCCACAGCATTCCACATAACACAGGCTGTGCCTGGGTGTCAGTCTGTCAGGCTGCAAAAATACTTTAGACTAGTTTATAAACATAAGCTTCTCACTTCAGCTTTGGAGGCTGGGAAGCCTGAGATTAAGACCCAGCAGATTTGGTGTCTGGTTGGGGCCTGTTTCTCATGGAAAAGAACCATCTATGTGTTTGCCCATGGCAGAAGGGACAAGCAAGCTCCCTTTGGGCCTCTTTTATGAGGCCACTAATCCCATTCATGAGGGTGCTGCCCATATAACCTCATTGTCTCCTTAAGGTCCCAGCTCTTACTACTCTTGCACTGGGGAAAAGATTCAATTTGTGAATCTGGAGGACAGAGACATTCAGACCACTCAGTTGGCTCAGTCAGAAGTTCTCTTATCCACTTTTAAGCTTCATTTCACTGATCTCTCTCTCCCACTGTGTCCTTTCCCATTCTCTCTGTCCTTGAGAGTTGATTTTTTAAAAAATTCTTATTTTCTAGCGGGCATGCCATCGGTCCCCTATCTTCTTTGAAGCCATAAGGGCTTTCACAAGGACAGTTCCACAGTCTTACAGTAGAAAAGAATGCCTAATGGCTGGACCCTGCCGGAAGAGGGTAGGAGCAACGTAGATAAAGTGGTCTCCAGTGTCCTGGGTGTATTTTCAACAATCAGCCACAGAGTCCAGGCTCTGGAGGCAGTGTCAATGTGAGAAGTGGGTAGAGGGCAGTGGCACAGCTCTGTAGAGAATGCCTTAGACAGGGACCCAGGTTTTACCAGCTCTGCCTCTGTGACCTGAGCCAAGTCCTTACTCCTTGAGGCTGAGAATCAAATGGGATTATCACATAGGTCCAGGGCTGGGTAGAGATTAAACAAGATGATACAAAGGCGCACAGCACAATTCCCAGAACTTCATCTGTGCTTTAGCTGGGAACCTGTGTGAATTCTGACAGCCAAAGAGGATTAGGAAAAAAGAGTGGGGCAAAGTAGTCTGAGGTCAAAGACAGCAAGGTGTGTGGCAGGGGAGAGATGGGACACGGCAGAGAGGTTCACTCACCCCTCCATTCACCCAGGTAGGGTGCTCGGCTCTTGGGTCAGATCCAGGCTGTTAAGGAGACAGAGAGGGAACAGTAAGAACCCCAACTGTGACAAGGAGAGGGGTCTCATAGAGGATATGGGCATGGAAGACATTCCTCGGCACATGTGGGCAGATGGGGACGACCCCTGAGGTAGAAAAGAAGAGAGCTCTTAGAGATGACTCAGGGTGAAGGTAGCAAGTGACTGGGTGTCACTGAGCAGCTGTGGGGGCTGTGTGTATCTTAGAGGAAGGACTGACTGCCAGGGAGGGACAGAGGGCATCCTGAGGTTGGCAGTGACCTTGGAGGCACCTCAGTCACCTCATGCTGGAGCAAGATGGCCACAGCTGAGGCTAGGATGGGGCCATCTTGGCTCTCCGGGGCATCCTGGAATGACAAGAAGAGGGGTGGGCAACACAGGATTCTCCCAGAGTCCCCACGGTGGCTGATGATGAAAGGAAAGGTGAAAGAGGCCAAGGAAGTGTTGTGCTACGCCGCTGAGGTCAACAAGAAGACCATTCCTCTCAACCTGCTGGAAGAGGTAAGAGGTTTTGGGCAGGAGTGGGGCCAGGCAGTGGGCTGGGGGAAGACCCTCATCCTTCCAGGTGAATGATGAGAACAGGGCAAGGCCAGAGCCAGCTTGAGTGGTGATGGGGGTAGAGTGGGCCTTGTGGATCCTCTGGGGGTGGGGAGCGTGCTGGGGGTCTCAGCCCTTCCTCTGGCTGTTCCTGCTTGTCCTGTAGCTGCAGCTGCCTGGAAAGAAGGTGACTAAGGCCTCTGTCCTAGACTTCTACAGCAATAGATACCTCTGTAAGGTGACCTTTGTGATGGGCTGCGTGTGGTGAGTATTTAGGGCTGGCTGGCAGGGACAGAAAACTGACATACCAGCCTCGAGCTCTGGGGAAGGTTGGGGGGGGGGAGGGTCAGGCTGCAAGAAGAGGAGCAGGGCCTAGGGACACTTCTCGCAGGTCTCTGTGCTTATTTCTTTTCTCCAATCCTACCCTGCCCCTCTCTGCTCAGCCTCTGACTCTGTTCCTGGTGCCATCTCTCTCTGCTTGTGTGTTCCAGGCTTACCATCAGTTACAGCTATTTTACACTGAGTCTCAAGTTGAGAGATTTTGGAGTGAGCATCCACTTCAGACAGGCAATCCCTGGTATCTTGGAGGTGCCCGCCAGGCTGTGCAGCATCATTCTCCTTGAACAGATAGGGAGGAAATGGAGCCTGGCTGTGATTCTCATCCAAACCGCCTTCATGTGCTTTCTTACACTTTTCCTCCCCCAAGGTATAGCCCGCCCTGCCCGGATGGGCCACCTCCCACTTTCCTGCTTCCTCAAAACCCTTCAGCTGGCTCCTATCCTGGCCAGCCAGCTAGGCACACAGGATTTAGCTTTCTGCAGGCACAGCTTACTTACCCACCCTGAGGAAGCCTAGCCCCTAAAGATCAGGTTGCAAGTAGGAGTCCTCAAGACAGGACACCCATACACTCTCAGAGGCCTTAGAGAGGAGGGTGTGCTGTTCAGAGAAAGCATCCCTATGTGGGAGGGCAGACCACCTTTACCACCTGATTCCAGCCCACATCAGAAGCAGATCTAGTGGTTCAATGTGAATGAATGAAGGCAGATACTCCTCCAGTTGCTATCCCAGGCTCTGCCTCTTATTTATAGCCTCTCTGATTGGGAAATACCTGTTGTTATCTGTGACTTCAGGAATAACCTATTCACTAAAAACTCTGCACAAATGCAACCCAAAGGAGGAAGGGGATAGCTAGCAGTATTTTCAATATTTCAAAGAGCTGTAGACAATGAACATGTCCCAGGATCTTGGGTTGCAGCACACAGGACTGCAGGGTCAGTATACACCTGCTTGGAATTGCTGACCCCAGGAAGCCCCTTCAGAGACTGGGGCCAAGGCAGGGAAGGCAATATATGGGGTCTGCCCTTCCTGGGGCTTCCTCCCTTTCTCTGGGTGCTGGAATTGTATGTCTTCTGTTGAGATTCTTCCCCTCCCAAATGTCGGCAGATATTGATGGACTAAAACAAAGTGGTTGAATAAATTTATGATTAGATTTCTACTGCTTAGTGGTTAAAAAAACAAGCAGAAACATTTAAAGTTCTTACATGTGTGAGAGTATGGGAGGCCAACTAGCACGTGACTGTGTCTGACTCCCCTRCTGACTGGTGTGGCATCTGGCAGTCACGCTGTGATCTGGATAGCCCCGGTCTTCTAGGATGCGAGCAACTGTGTCTTCGTGCATGGTGTGCCTTCCTATATCCCCATGGGTAGAGCTATGCTCACTTGTTCCTTTGTAATATTACCCTTTCCCTGTTTGGGATAGAATGTTCCATGGAAATGCCTTTTGTGTGTCCCCTTCTCTTACTGTGCCCTTGGGTGTGGCCTTCCTAGATGTCAGCCAACCTGCTGACAGTGGACATCATGAAGCTAGACTCAGCCCACTGAAAACTGATCCCTTGCCTCATTTGAATAGCTTCTCCTCAATAAAAGGGGTCAGCATGTGTGTGTGTGTGTGTGTGTGTGTGTGCTCTCGCTCTCTCTCTCTCTCTCTCTCTCTCTCTCGCTTCATGATGTCCACTGTCAGCAGGTTGACTGACATCTAGGAAGGCCACACCCAAGGGCACAGTAAGAGAAGGGGACACACAAAAGGCATTTCCATGGAAACATTCTATCCCAAACTGGGCAAGGGGTAATATTACAAAGGAACAGGTGAGCATAGCTCAACCCATGGGGATATAGGAAGGCACACCCATGCACGAAGACACAGTTGCTCGCACCCTAGAAGACCGGGGCTATCCAGATTACAGCGTGACCACCAGGGGAGTCAGACACGGTCACGTGCTAGTCAGTCTCCCACATAAGAGCACCTAGGAAAAGACTCCCTAATAGAGAAAAGTTGTCAATCTTGATTTCATCCCAGAGCCAAGAAAGGTGGGAAGTGGAGCTGGGGCAGGACCCTGCAGGGGGGTGACAGGGAAGAGCTGGTAACCTGGCAGGCAGTGAGCAAGGGCTCCAGCCCCACTGCACTTGCTGAGGGACACTCCCCCAGATGCTGAGTCTTTCATTTCTCCTTCAGAGCACATATCTAGCTGCCATAGGCAGGCATCCTGGACTGTTTAGGACCAATCCCAGCCATGCAGACCCCAGGGACCAAACATCCTTGCCCAGGTCACTTTGCAGAGCACAGGTGGGAACCCTGAGTGAGAAGCCTAGTGCGAGTGATGGCCAAAGAGCAGGTGGGTGGGGTATGGTAAGCTACAGCTGTTTGAGGATGTAGAATAAAGACAGCCCTATAGGCAGAGATGTGGGGGCTCGGCCCAGCAAGGTGGTGGATGGCCTGAGGGGCCTTTGGGTTTCCAGTGTAGTATCTCCGACTTCCTGGTCAATTCTCCTACAGCAGATATGCTAACTTCTGGCCTGGCTGGGCCTCTACTGATTGACCCTTCTTGGACAGAGTGCCTGAGTCTGCTGGACAGCTGACCATGTGGCAGTAGGGGTAGATTGCTCAGATGCTTTCTGTGAGGGATCAAGGATTGATGGGCACCGAGGAGAAGATGGCCCCAGCCTTAGGTAGCTGTGTTTTCTGGACACAGGTCTAAAATCCGCCATCATCTTGGTGCTTGTGCTTGGACAGTTCAGCCTGGCCACCAGTGTCTCTGTGGTCTTCCTCTACACTGCTGAGCTCTTCCCCACCATCGTCAGGTATGGGGTCTGGTAGATGAGGGAGCCATGGAGACCATGGAGGGGGTAGTATGGGACAATGACAATGTTAAAGATTGAGCGTTCTCCTGGTGCTAAGCAGTTCACAAGGATGACCTCATTTAGCCCTCCAAAGATCTCCCAAATGTCACCATTAACCATGTTTTAAACAATTAAAGCAAAGAGATAAGGGTACTCATTGTAGGTGAGACACAGCAAGTGGCAGAGCTGGGTTCCAGGTTGGGTGGGTCTGACTCCAGTCTCCGCCTCACAACTCACTGGATGGAATGTGTTTGGGCCACCTGAGGCTCAGCCCCGACCCGGCAAGAGCTCTCCGTGACAGCAGCTATGTCTTCCTGTCCACCCAGAAACGCTCCCTGCACATCCACACAGTACCCTGTGGTTCTTAACTCTCTTACTCCTGATACCCATAAAAGAGGGCTAGAATTACTACCTACTTGGAATCCATGGAGAACTAAACTCGCCCCTAGCCACCCAATGAGCTGGGATAGGTGGAGACTGAAGGGTGTGGAGCGTCAGGTAGCTTCTCCCCTATCCTACCTGGTCTGTGGGCCTGAGGAGCCTTCCAGACCAGCTCTCATTGCCACTTTTCAGGTCTACAGGTCTGGGGCTGGTGTCTCTGGCCTCATCAGGTGGAGCCATCTTGTCCCTGACGATCATCGGCCAGCTCCCAGCCCTCCTGCCCATTTTTCTCTGCTTCATCTCCTCTATCGCAGCCTTGGGTTTTTCCGCCCTGCTGCCGGAAACACAAAACCAGCTCCTCTCTGACAGTATGGAGCAATTTTCAAGAGCAAGGTAAGTGTATGAGACCCCCTGATTTAAAGCCCTTGGCCGTGAGAATATGTCAGGCACTGTCCACCCTGGCCCCTTGGCCAGAGGGCCTGGGATTATAGGAACACCCTATGTCCATAGCAGTGTTCCCAGATCTATAGGTACTGCCACTCATTGGGGTCCAGCCCAGCCTCTGACAGCTCCTACCCCGCCTGGCTCTCTTCTTCTCTGCTTCATTTGCCTGTCTGGACTGGAGCACTGCTCTCCAGAGATACTCCAGAGGTACCTTGGCATCTTTCCCTCCCCAGACACAGGGGACTGACTTGGAATTGTCTTTCTGAATAACTCTCCTTTTCTGTCTGAGTCCCTACTCCCTCAAGGGAGTAGCCTTGATTAATGATTCTGGATTAAAGAACCCAGCCTTGATGAATGATTTTGGACTTTTAGCCCCAACAACTCAGGACCCCATTTGGGGACTGAGCTCTACTCCATATCTCCTTAGGCAGTTCTGGTCTCTGATCCCCTGAGTGTCCCCTGGATAAGATTTGTCATGATTGGCAGAACCATCTCTTCTGGGTATTTGGGTCAAAAGAGTCCATCACTATCTCCCTGGACCTGAGGGGAGCTCAGCAGCAGTGAGGGGCAGAGGTCACCTGAGGTCCTATAGTATCCTCTGCTCTATACTGTAGGAGTTGCTGCCTCTGGCTTTCCTCTGACCTCCTTTCTACTCTTCTCCTTCTCTCCCCATCTCCTTAGACTTTTATTGGACCACCAGTGTAAGGAATTGTCCCAAGGCTGGGCTCTCAGAGGTCAAAGGTCCTCACCTTTGAGAAGCCATAGTTTACAGGGAGGTAGATCTGCAAACAGTTATCATGAGTGGTCTCTGACCATGGATATATAGGACCTATTGTAATAGCCCAGGGAAAGAAGAACTTTATCTTGGGAGTTGAGGAATGTCACAGAGGAACTGATATTTATGTAGAACCTGAAATGTGGATAGGAGGTTGCCCCACTGTAGTAGAGAAGGGAAATATAATGAACAACAAAGCAGAGCAGTGGAGAATGTGGGTTCTGCAGCCAGAGAGCCTGGATTTCAATTTTTTGTGCTAATACTTCCTAGTGTGTGCACAAGAACATAGTAATCACTAGAGCAAACACTCATTGCATATTTACCATGTGCCGGGTCTCGATCCATGTGTGCCTTCTCTCATTTTGTCCTCAAATGAATCAAGTGTGAAGTGGGACTTGTCACCCTTTTGCAGATGAGGAAATTGAGGCCCAGAGAGGTAAAGCCGTGTAGTCCAGACTTCCCCTTCCATAGGGCTTTTGAGAGGATTAAACCCATATAAAGCAGTTGGAACAGGGTCTGGTATATGGCAGATGCTCAGTAAGTGCTTGCAAAGGGAAGGGGTCTAGCTGGGGCAGGAAGATAGAACCAGCCTGTTCCGGGAGGCAAAGGTCCCTCCTGGGCATATGGAAGTGAGAAAGCCCCACTTCCCAGAGTGCAAAACCTGGCATGGCTGAAGGTGCCTCAAAGCAGCCACTTTGTCTCAGCTTACAGAAAGATTCGCTTCAGCATTCTGACAGCAGTTTCAAGAAGAGGAGGACCGATGAGGACACACCTGATGATATGTCTGAGGAAGTGGCGAAGAATACCATTCGCAATGCCCAGATTCTGAGAATGGACTCAAACTCTGACTCCAACGCTAGCTTGAAGAAATCCAGAGAGGAGAAAACAGACAGTCAGGTTTCCTGAGGGCCAGGCCCCAGACTGTCTCGGGTTGGAGATGAGTGGCTGGGTATGAGGCGGTGGATTCCAGGCCATGAATTCCAGGCCCAGCCCAGTGGGAGGGGGCAGGATCAGTCTTGCTCTGAGGCCAGCCCTTGAGATAAAAAAAATGGCCCCTTCTAGGGGATCTTGGCTGTGATTCATTCCAATAAAGGTACCATGTTGGTCTTGAGATGGCTAGGTCCAAGTTGGCTACATCAGAGAACCCAGAAGCCCTGGCCTGGAGAAAGGGGTTAGATAGGCTCCTCAGACTCCTGAGTGTGTCTTTGGCTAAACTCAGGGACAGTGAAGCGCTCTCTAGATGGTGTGGGGGGTAGGGTGGGCAATGTCTCTGTGGGATAGAGGTAGAGCAAGGGTGAGGCTGACTGTGCCTCTGTATCAACCAATCCTTCTGCCTCGACATCTGTCCGTGTACTGGGTTCCTAGCTCAAATGCAAGGTGAGAATAGGCACTTCATGCAGGGGCAGAATGTAGCGGAATGATGAGAACTTCTCCCATTTGTCCCATGACACAGAGCTTTCTCACTTGTTTTCCTTTGATATTTCCAAATCTCAGTCCTCATCCTGGAGAATGCCTTCCTAGGGGTTCCAGTCTATCTGATCTCTGAGATAAGCCCCACACCTTAGGTCATTGTCCCAACAGCCCTGGGTGAATCTTCCTTCCACAGCCAGCATGGGGCCAGTCCAGGTGGGGCCAGCACTTCTCATTCATTAGCCAGACTGGAAAGCCCTGGAGTCAGGCCCTGACACCATCTTTCCCTGGGCAAGGAAGTTCCTGAGGTCAGTACCTGAGTCATCTCCTCCACTCTTGCCCGGTTTGTTGGAAGATTATGAACTTGTAAGGAGTAGCTCTGATCTAATTCCTAAGGAGCTTCTGAGGAGGAGGAGGATAGAAAAGCCTATCTGTTCTCATGGAGCCAGGATAGTGAGACCCTGGGATCTCACACATTACTCTTACCATACAGGTGTCTTAGTGTAACATTGACAAATAAATGCCAAAATTCTATGAAATTAGATATCATTAATAAATTATCTCTCCCACAAATCTGACGTTTTTCTGATACACTAAATAGTATCAAACATGTCAGCAAGGGTCTCCCTATGTGCAAAGACAGGTAAGTAATGCTAGAACTTGTGATGGTACATGCAGATACCTGTGAACTCTGGGATTCTCATTTCTTTGGTCACTGATTACTAGCTATGTGAAATTCTCATCTCATCTTCATCTTTCAATGGCTTATATATTTCCACCACTATGAGACCAAGCCCCCCCTTATCCTATGATATTCCCCACCCCTGACATGGGAATGCTGCTCATAATTTACCAGAGCATATGAGCCTGTGGTGTGAGGGATTGTACATGGTGAGTGTGAAGGAGCTCAGGACTGGATTAGGCCCCCAGAACATGGGCAGAAAACTCAGTCTCATGAAAGCAAGCCCCAAACCCAGCAACAAGTGTAAAAACCTGGGAATCCTGCTAAAGTCTTGGTGGAAGCAAACACTAAATCAATTCACAGCAAGGTTGCCACACAGCGCAAACCTCATGGGGTTTTCTAGGGAAGACAAACTTCAATGAAAAGAAACTTGTAAGTAAAAATTACTGAGCATGTGAAGAAACAAAAGGATATAAGTGCAGAATCAATAAATGGAGGGTTGCCATCAATGAATAAGTAGTGATTGAGCTCCCTAAAGAGTACACGGCGTGGGTTCAGAATGTTCAGAGATGAAAAAATGCAATTCCTCAGACACAAACTTAAAAACTGACAGCTATAAATAGAAATGAACAATATAGTGACTGAAGTGGAAAGCAACAAAGAAGTGAAATTAGAATAGACACAATGATTGTTTAAATATCCTTTGTGGATTGATTTTTTTTATCATGAAATATCTCTGTTTCTATTAATGCTTTTTGCCATAAACACTCTTTTACTTGATACTCTTTCACACCCATCTTTTAAACTTTTAAATTAAAGAATAATATACAAATAAATGCGTGGATCATCTTGTGTATGGTTTTGAGTTATCACAAAGTTCATGCCTATATCAGATCTATCACTTATAACAAAAGACAGAAAATTACCAGCCTCTCGAAGTCCACCCTTCCTCTTCCAGTCACAGGCCCAATTCTTTAGAGATAATTATTCACCCCTGACAACATATGTTACTTTTGCTCATATTTGAACTTTGTAAGAGAGGTCTTGTGTATGGCTTCTTCCACTCAAAGACTCATCCATGTTGTCACATGCAGTAATTTGTTTCTATGTTGTGCCATGTTCCATCACATGAATGAATCACAGTTTATTCATAAACAAGTTTGGGTTGTTCCCAAAGGGTGAAAATGAGCTATGATGAATAATCCCTTCTATGAACCTTCCTTTATCTAGATTCTTGACCTGGGAGCAAGATTCCTGGGTCAGAATATATATCACTTCAACCTTGATATGCCAAGCCATTGTCCAAAGTGGTATTTCAATTTAGACTTACAAAAAGCAGCATAGAAGAATTTCTGTGAGTTGTATCTTGGATAACACTTTTCTTATTTTACACAATCTGTGGCTGAGTGTATTTGGGGGATTTAAATTTGTTTTTCCTCAATTCCTAAGGAGGTCGAGCACAGAGTTTGGATATAATTTAGGTGTGATAACCAAAGTTTCCTGTGTTGGAAGCTTGGTGGAACCTTTAAAAGGTGGGACCTTGTGGAAGGTCCTTAAGTCATTAAAGATGTACCCTTAGAAGGGATTAAAGTTGCTGCGCCCCTCCCCTGACTCAGGCAATGGCAARGCCCTACTGAGGTGGATGGCGCAAGGCGTCCATCCTCTGGAGGAGAGCAGTATGTTTCTGGGAATGGGCTGATTTGTTTTTGTATTCCTTTAAAAAGTTTAGTTGCGATTTCTCATATGACCATTAAGTATGAAGGAAAAATCATGACTTCCCCAACTAATGCAGCTACTTCTAAAGCATAGATCTGTTTGCTCTAAATGCAATGATTCAGCTGTGGAGTGTAAATTGTTAATGTCTAATGAAAAACTCCCTGTATTCCTGTCAAGGAAGTTTTTGAGAAATTAAAATCTAGAGAAGACAAATTAATGTTAAGAAGACAGATTAGTGCTTAGTACGGGGCAACTCGTTCTTGTTCCTGTGCACAATGGTTTGTGCTCTTACCTTTGTTTGATTAAAAGTAATAACAAGTCAACCACTTGCCGTAACCATGGCACCGGTTCCAGTCAGTGAGTCAAGAAAGAATAGTCAAGGTATAGGCCAATAGCTTGGGACATTTGTAACTATTATTAAAAGTTAACTAAGCAGAAACAGCTCAAAGCAAAACTCGAACTGAAAGTACAAATGCTTGCTTATGCATAAGCCAAGATACATTCTTCTATTCTAATTGTAGCGAGGTAATATTTTGTTTCTTTGAATAATGATTCCTGTTTTGTAACCACAAAGTACTGTGAGCCTGCCAAAATGAAAAGTATATATGATCAACTTCACAAGTAAAGATTGGGAGCTGGTCTCCGACATAAAGTATTTCTTATGGGATTATGAGTTGGTTCTCCAGAGAAAATTATTATAAAAGGAGCAAACTTGGCCACACCCAGTTCTCTCTTGCTTCCTGTCTGGTAATATGATCATTTGTCCTACATCTGTTCCCACCATTGCTATTTCCATGGTGTGACACAACTGAGAGAAGAATCCTCATCAGAGCCTGTGCTCTGCCATTTGCACTTTTAGCCTCCAAGACACTGGACTAAATAAACCTCTTTTCCTCAAAAATTGTCTTTCTCAGGTATTTTGTTACATAAAGGAAAACTGACTAATACAAGAATTTTTTTCATAAATTTATTGGCCACTTGGATTTCTTGTTTTGTAAAGTATCTGTTTACATCTTTCATCCATTTTTACATTGGGTGGTCTGTCCTTGTTGTTTTTTTTTTTTTTTTTTTGTCAATGAAACTTTATTTATGCAGTACTGAGAATCGAACCCACCACCTTACACATTCTATGCAAGTGCTCTACCACTGAGTTACAACCCCAGCCCCCCCATCCTTGTTCTTCAGAGATTCTCAGGAGTACCAGATATTCCTGTCATGGGCCCATTGTCACATGTTATGTTACAAAAACGTCTCCTCCTTAGATTGGCCTTAATTCTGTTTATTTTTATTTTCATTTTTTTTCTACTCATAACATTTGTGTATACACATACCTGATTTTTCAGGGATTGATTGTTGGAAAGACAGCCTTTTCCCACTGTTCTCAGTGCTATCATAAATCAAGTGACTGGACAAGTAGGTTTGATTCTGAGTTTTTCATTTTGCTTCATTAATATGTTTGATATTTACTAAGCAACACCACATTTTTTAAGTACTATATTGTGTTAAAGTCTTGATATCCAGTAGAGGAAGTATTTCCACATTGTTTTTCTTTAAGAGGGTTCTGTTCTTTCTATGTTTCCATACAAATCTCAGAGTCAGTTTGATAAGTTCCATGACAAAAATGAAGAAAAAAAAAGCTTGCTGATATTTTAATCAGGATGAGGGTGAGTCTATACACCAATTTACAATATCAAGTCTTCCAGCTTAAGAACATGCTAGATTATCTCTACATTTATTTAGATCTCTGAAGTTCTTCAATAAAGTTTTAGTTTATATAGTTTTCTCCTTAGAAGACTTGTTCATTTTTAAAATTTATTCCTGGCAACTGATTTTTTTAAAAAAAATCAATGCCCAGGAATTATAAATGATGATTTTATGGTTTTTTTCTTAATTTCATTTTCCACTAGTTGCTAATAGTGAAAAGTGCAATTGATTTTGTTATATGTTGATTTTCTACCCACAACCTTATCAAATACTATCGTGCTTCCTGATGTTCAAGTCTTCAGATTATTTCTCTTGCCCAACTGCACAAGCTGGTTCCTCCAGAACAGCACAGAAAAGTATCCTTGCAAGCAGGCATCTTGCATGACCTCTGGTT